ACGTCGTAAAATCAAACAAAGACTATGTTTGTTGTTGTGAGGCTGATTTGCTAATAAACACATTAGCGTCTGGTGTTAGCGATGAGGCTTTAATGTCTGGATTGAAAGCTCTTATTGCTCTGTGAACAGCTTTGATACACAATGAGGAGGTTTTACATTTGGGAGCCGATTTTCTCACAGTGAGACAAAACATCAGGGACATGACAACGCTAATGTGCTAATGGGCTAATGTGCCTTTTCAGACCAATGACCAGAGCGCCTTTCTATCCCCACTTTAGCACTTTTTTTTATTTATTATAGTCTTCACTTATATCTAGTGAAGGTTATTGCTGTTGTTGTTGGGGGGGGGCATCAGACCTTCAGATTGAAATCCTTCATGACCTTCTGAGACCAGAGCACGTGTTTGAATTAAAGGCACCTATTAGTGAAGAGAGAAGCATAAAGGCTGATGTGCAGAGAGGGTGCCAGGGTTTAGACTAACCGCAGTGACACAGAGAGCAGCGTCAAGGACAGTTTTTCAACCCCAACACATGTGAATCCCACTGTATTCAGGCCTTTTCCCTGTCTCCGTCTCCCTGTCGCCCTCTTTCTGACCTCACCATGTGTAATGCTGCACAAACCCCGCCCTCTGTTTGTCATCCTCCTCTCCATTCTTAGTCTGCTTCAGATAGTGTCACCTCCAGCCCATGACCAGGTTGCAGTCCAGCCGTGCCCCCGTATGAATTATGATGTGCTGGATCACTCCTAATCTTGTTATGGATGTTCTTTTGCCCTTGGGGAGGGGCATAAATAGATAGAAGGGACTTTTATCAGATTTCACAGTGCTTTGGAGTATAATTCATGAACGATGCCGTCTCTTGTGTAGAGGGGTCATGCTTGGTCGCACTAAACACTACAGTTTGATCTGATTAGCTCTTATTTGTTTTCCAGTGTTAACCTTTATCATGGAAATGTGAACAAGGAAAAATTATTTTCCTGAAAAAACAGACAAAGACGCAGAGTAAATCAATTAAAATATCAGAAGATAACAAACACAATTTCATAAATAGACGCTCGGTTCACAGGGAAAGACGTGACCTGCACAGTTAGTAACAGATTGATAACAGCAATTCATCCATTAAAAGAGAGTTCAGAATGTATCACAGAAGTATATAACAGAGCCTTCAGCTGCTCTGCTCCCCAGCTCTGGAACTCTCTGCCACCTGACCTACGCAACATTGACTCTCTCCCCATCTTCAAATCCAGACTCAAAACCCATCTGTTCAAGATCGCCTACTCACTCTCACATTTTAACTGTAATTACACTGTCCTACATTTCATTTCTTTTATTGTATGCTGATTTTATCTATTGTTGTTTTTTTAAATGTTGATTGTTGTACAGTGTCCTTGTGTGTCCAGAAAGGCTCTCATAAATAAAATGTATTATTATTATTATTATAATAATATACAAGATCTAAGGATGAATCCATACCTTATCAAACAATAGCACCTGCTCTTCCTACAACTAATGTAATATATAACTAATATATACAGTATCATGGCATTTAGAGCAATCTACGAAGTAGGAACAACATGCAGCCATTGTCATGAGAGCTCTACAGTTTGATGTCTTGAGATTTTAAAAATGTTGCCGTATGATATAAGAAGGCAATTGAATGGATTGCAAGCACAAGTGGCAGAGAACAGACAGCTGAAACAACTCCAGTTTGCAGAACAAAGAGACTGTCAGAAGTCTTCTGCTAGACAAACACATGGTGGCTCGAGTGCTGATGACAAAAATGAAGGTTACAGTCAAAGTGTGCAATCAAGTTGTTTCTTGTAAAAGCTGCGAACTTCCAGTCGAGGGGTTACTTTTCCGATAAGTCCACACATTTCTATGAGTGTTAGAGTGGAGTCGTCACTTTGTGTGGTCAATGCTCCGACCTCTTCTTTACTTCTCTATAATAACTTGATGGAAAGTAACACATTCTTCATGTCCAAACTAAGCTTCTCCTGGACGTGTTTACACCAACTCAAGGTAAAGTCTTTGTTGACTTTACACGAATTGCACGGCTAATAAATTAGAAAAATCCACAGCTGCAAGACAGTAATTCTTTATAACATGGAAAGAAAATGCTACAACTATTGAATAAATACCTGTGCTGGATTATTAATGCAACATGTTTTTATTCTTGCACTCTCCATAAAGTGAAAGCCAAATATTCACCTAGGTTAGTCTGCTGTTGAGCGCTTCCTCTATTTGACTAGACTGTAATCCCCCCCCTCTCATCGCCAAGTTTCTTTTTTTCTTTGAGGCTTTTTATGCTTTCCCTTCAAAGACTCCACCATGCTGTAGCTAACTGTATCACAGTGGCTACCCACACTACCCATTGCTCTGGCAATGCAATCATTGCTGGTTGACTTGAAACGCGCAGCCCTGCTGGTTGTGCCAACATGGGAATGTGACCACAGACAACAGATTTTAAAAACTTTGATGTACTTTGGAATCCAGATAACTGTATCTCTGGATAATAAGCCTGAGCTGTAACTATGCCATCACTGATTAAAACTCTTATTTTGATGTGTTCAATTTCAATTCACTTGTTTTTTTTAATTCCTACTCTCTTATTTTGGAGGTAATATAATTTGATTTTTGGACTGATGTTCAGCCAAGACAAAGAATAAGAACATTTTACCTCTGGACTCAGGATTCCTAAACATGATGTGTTCAGGGCCTACATCTGATATGTCACAGTGTGTAATTTAAGGACCTTTCTTCTCCTGCATCACATTCACTCACCTGCAGCACCGTATTAAAAAGATGACTTCACCTATCTTCGATTTGAATCTCAAAGGAGGTTAGAGAGCAGCAGAATAACTGCTTTATGTGTCCCTGCATCACATTAAAGTAAATTGCAAAGTCAACAGAAAGGTGTTAATAATGTCTATATATAATAAAGAGGGCACACTTCCAGGATATAACACAACAGTGAGGACAGTCTGGCTGCCACACTTCAGCCCTTTGCTATTGTTTTATGACTCCCTTGTGGGCCTGCAGGGTGCAGGAGAGGAGATGGATCCTGAAAGATCTAATTAAGCAGAGCCAAATGAGAGTGCCGAGATCTCAAGCCCAGGATGAGACACAAATCAGGGGCTGTTGACAGTCGGCTGCAGGGCAATGGGGCTTATGCAGGAAAAGGCTGCACTCTTGCCTGCAGATAACGACCGTCTCTGCTCCTCTGCGGTCCTCATTTGAACTATCTTTATAGCTCAGGGCCAAAGGTTGTGAATCTCAATCTCATTATGTAGAACATCAGCCTGTGGAGTTACGCGTTTTGTCTTATTTGCACTTAAACAGGTAATTAGTGTTTTCTCAGTAGCCGGGCGACGCTGCTGAAAAAGCAGATGACTCCAACAGGTGTCTTGATTTTTTATGTAGTCAACTGAGAGAACGACAAAAGAAGCTTTTTATTTTTTTGTGCCTGACAAATAAAACTTTGAACTGACGCTACCTGTTTTTGAATGGTCATCAAGTTTGAGTAAGTTAAAGCATTAGGGAGTTAATGTGGTTTCTTTTGTTGGAAAAGCTTCCTCATTTCATTTTGCAGACACTGGGGGATTTAAAGAAATGATTTCCCTGTCTGACAATCTAGCATTCACATGCTGTAACATCTGAGTACAGAATAAATGTCTCCAGGACACCTGGCGCCATGTCTGCCACTGTCTGCTCTCCTGGGCTCTTTTCTGACGGAGAACAGAAAGACCTTGGAGTACAGAGACAACAGGCTTGATTATGAGAGTACATAGGAAGGTCTCCCAACATTGCTGTGCTAATCACGTTAGCGGGCGCAGACTTCGAGGCAGGACAGATGCTAGGCAAAGGGCAATGGGGTTATGTTATCCTGATTAGAGGAGGCTTCGGGGGGTTTGTGAATCTGGTTTGCTACCTCTGCATCACCTTGCAGTGGGAAAACTGCCGCTGTTTCTTTGTGTCTCGCTCAGGCTGTTGGCTTATCCTTCCAGCTTTCACTCGTATCTCTCTCCAGTATTCACCAGAAGTAGCGCCTCAGCCAACACCGATTTGTGTCTTTTTTTTTCTACAGGGCACATTTTTTTTCCTGTTATCAACCGCCCACACACAGAATGAGTGGTGGGAGAATACTTTCTTTTTTTTTTTCTTGTTGATTCCACCTGCTTAAAGTGGTAAAAAGCATATGTGTTCCTTTGTGACATGTTGGCCTTGGTTAATATGAGTCTGCCTAACTCCAATCCCTCAGTGGCTCAGGAAGAAACCTCCAGCATTTATCTATAAATCTACACCACTCGCGTGAACTGTATTATAGACATATTCACAGCATAAAGGCTGATGCTTCTTTTTCAAATGTTTGTCATCCTGGCTACATCAAAGTGGAAGAAACATGTCATTTTAACTCATACTGATACACATAGCACACTCGTAGGACGTCATTACTCAGTTTCCCCTATGTGGTCTTCCATTTTCAATGAGTAACCATGAATATCTTTAAAAATAAAATACACTGATATAAAAAAAAAAACCTGACTAAAGAGTAAGCCGTTATTTCTTCCTCTAGAAAGACGAGCTTTGCAGGCTCTGCAAGTGTCCGTTGGGCAGCTTTTAATTTCCAATTTAAAATGATTCATTGCTGCAGGCGTCTTAGCTGCTTGTTAACTTTCAAAATTCATGCTTCACCGCAAAAATGTGTGGTTGTGATTCATATGCATATATGACAGTCGGTGCAGAGGGAACACTATTATTTAAAATAAACCAAAAATTACATTGCATCTGAGGCAGAAAATAGCATATACCAACCAGTTAAATTATACATGGATTGGCTCCAAATCAAACAATCCTCACTTTTAATAACTTTTGATATTGGTATTCAGAACATGATTTTTTTTTATATCATACCTAAGCATACAGAGTTTGGTCGTACGTAAAAGAAATGTCATTCAAGTTGTATTTGAATAAATAACTGATGGCTTTTGTCTTTTCCTTTCAGGATCCTATTTGTTGGTGAACTCCTCCCAGCATGCAGTGGGTCACCGTGCTCAGCTGCTGCTGCAGACGCTGAGTGAAAACGACACTCACTGCGTCCAGTTCAGTTACTTTCTGTACAGTCGGGATGGCCACAGTCCAGGGGCCCTGAAGGCGTATGTGCGAGTGAACGGTGGTCCGCTCGGGAGTCCGGTGTGGAACACGTCGGGGTCTCACGGCAAGCAGTGGCACCAGGTGGAGCTGGCTGTCAGCACCTTCTGGCCTAATGAATACCAGGTACGTACTGACTCATTTCTTTGTTCCCTGATGATTTAATGAAGGAATATAACGCTCTGACACTGATGAGTTAAACATTTAAAAGAGGTTTCACTTTCATGAAGAAGCTCTGCGGGCCCGACATCTTCAACAGCTGAAAAATGTAACACAGTAAGGCTCTGTTGATCACTATTCAATTCAGCCTCAAGGTGAATCTGGTCTTAATTACTTACATTTGCAATTTAATTAGCATTGATTCTCCTGTGGATGTAGCCAATGTTAGTGCTAAAGGGCCCTAAATGGGTATGTTGTGGGAAAGCCTGGTAGAGATTCCATCCTCCGAGACCTGAGAGTATCCAGCCATTAGCATAGCATGTCATTACCTACTTACGGCACACAAACATTGACTGGCATCTACTCTGGGTGCCTGCCGTGTTGTGCTCTGTAGACTGCACAGTCAGGTGAGCACGATTGATATCCATCAATTAATCCAATTTCTTTTTTCTGCAAACTCTGCGGAGCTGTCAAAAAGCAATTAAGTTGAGTAGTGTGCATTTTAAGAAGTGCCAATCCCCCCCCCCAGACTTAATGAAATCATGTTCGGCCCTGAAAGATCTGACCTTCACTGTAAGTAATAGTCGCCTCTTCTGCGGAGTGACACTGTTCTGCTATCATCAGATGTAAATGTTTTCAACTTTATGGTTAACAAGCCTCAATACGTACAGTGTATACATGCAGGAGCTGTCAAAGATCGAAGTGAAGGTTTTGCTGCTGTTCTGAATGTACGGGGATATGCACACATTGTTAAAAGCTTTGTTTTCAAAGCTACATGGAAATAATAACAAATAAATAATAATAAATATATAAATAATATGAGCTGGAAAAGAAGCTGCAACACTTCTTCTATCCACGTGTGTCTTGGTTCATAGCTAACATTGAAAATAAGAAATGATATAATAAAAGTAAAAAAAAGAACATTTGATCATATTCGATAAATTAATCCTCCATTTGCGTTCAGAATGGAAATAAAATGTTTGTGGCTGTACCACTCAGTGCTACTGCATTACAGCCCCTCCCAGCAAGCTCTGCTGTCAGCTAACTGTTCATCGGCTCAGTTTTTAAACAAATAAATGATGGTGTTGTTAGTGGGAATTACTACTTCTACAATAGCTGTATTAAATGTTGGAAATAGCTGCTGCTCTTGCGCTGGATGTTGAATAGTGAGGGAGATGAAAACAGTCAAGTGTCTTGCTAAGGACTTCTTCACGGCTGATGGATGCAGTGAGAGATGAGCTGTGATCTCTGTGTTATGAAACAAAACCCAAAAGCACTTTTCGGCTCGACCATCACATCAGGACAGACATGAATGTCATAATCACGCATTTTATCCTGTTTTCACTTTTCTCTGTCAAGTATTACAGCAGAGGGTCAATTTGCCGGTGTACTTAGAGATTTTGTTCTTCAGTGGAGCTGTGTCCTTTTTGTTTCACAGTCCTGTAGAGCTCCAAAAACAAACAAACAAAAAAAACAGTACATGCTCATAGGTGAGACAAACCGGGGCTGTTGCTCGACTGAGAGCCTCCAGCAAGAAGACCGAGGATTATTATGGCTTCATCCCGGTAAAAAAGCTGTCTTTCTAATGTAGGAGAAGGATGTGAGTCTAACACTTCAATAAATGAAGAGAGTGTATCTTGTCATAGAACGGTTTAAACCAGGAATGACCAAGCTTTTATATAACGTGGCTGAAAACACAGTGTTCCCTTTTATTGGATTAAGTTTGGACACAAGGGCCCAGAAGTTCAACATTTTAATTATCAGGATTTGGAAATCCAATTTTTTTTTTTTTTTTTTTACATTGAGAATCATTCCATTTGACTTTTGTGTTCATTGGATTAGATCTCCCTGAATTTAATCCAAATTTGTCAAGATTACCAAAACCGAGATGGACATAGCTCTAAATGGGACTACATACCAACATTTAGGCCATTAGCTATGTGACATGGAGAGGGTAAGCATATGGTTTTACCACTTTCAATGTTTTATTACTTTCTGTTCTTGGATCCACTCTGATTTCAGCGTCCTCTGGGATCGGGATGTTCCAGACTTTTCCTTTTTAATTGTTTTTTTGTTTTTTCAACTCCTTCCCCAGTGTTTTAAAAAATCCTGCTGAAGGTTTGACCCGAAACAAAAACAAAACTTGATAAGGTGATCTAATCTGATGAAATATTTGTTTTTCCTTCTGAACAACCTGTGCTCAGGAATTCATTTAATCCCACCGCCAAAATCTGATAAAATACATTTCTAACAACTTGTCTCAGGTATTGGCACTATCAGAAGAAAAGGATCAAATCGCAGTGAGTAAGGAAGCTTTGTCTGTTGTTCCACATTTAACTTCACTCTGCTAAGCTTGTGTTTATTATTAGTACAAAGCAGGCAAAACAAACTGCCCCCCCTCCTCAAAGTCAAATAGTACAGCTTACATGGCTAATCCCTCTGCAGTGAAAAACCTCATCACAGTGGAATGACACGAGGTCTCGCTTTGCAACACGTTGCTGCTTCCTTTTACACAGACGGAACAGAAGCGGGTCAAATGAGTGTAAGGCTGAATGTTTTCATGAATAGCTGTCCTCTGCTGTGAACCAGGTCATCACACAGCAGGATAACAATAGGATGCTGTTTAAGTCTCACGGTTTTCTTGAGATTCATCAGACTTGTAGCTTTAAAACATGTCAGCTGCCTCCTCTGTGTCTTTTAACACCAAAGGGTTTGAGTTATATGAGCTCTATAGCTGATTTATTTGAATCACTTTGGCTTTTAGGTGACAGACAGGCAGATATACCCTGTCATTAAACTATAGCAACAAGATCTTTTTAAAAGCAGAGGTGGAAAATAGATACTTCTTCTCATTATCTCTTCAGCCAAATAAATCCCATTATCGTTTATTTTGGAGAAGGCTTTCCTCTCCACAGGTTGTCGCTGCCTTATTAGATTTCAGGTCATATTAGAGCTCCCATTTCCTTGCCTACAGCACAGAGATACAAAATGTCAGTGTAGCCCTTTCCACTGCACGGATACAGATGTAAGAGATAACCCTCAAGGTCGCCCATTTCAAGAATCAGATTTAGCCTGTAAAAAAACCACAAAGTTTACAGCACAGATAGTCCCAGTTCTGTGTCCTAACAACATGATTTACAAAATCTATTAAAACAGTCAAAGTAAATCTCTAATTAAAGCAAAAATAAGAATATACTGAACAACCAAATCATAATTTGTTTACCTACCTGTTCATTCTTTTGTTGTTGTTGTGTTTTTTTTTACACCTTTAGTACTTAAAGAAAAGATTGCATCATTCATGCAGGACTTTCTCTCAACATGTTCCCATTGCTTTTATTTCTGTCCAAACCACGAGTTCAGGAATCTTCTCTGATCAGTTTTCTCTTTATATTAATGTCAGGGTTGACGAGCATTACACAAACACAACTTCCTTCTATTACAGTGGGGAAACTGGGATTTGGAGTTGGATGGATTTTTTTGGGGAGGAAATCTAAGAGTGTTAGATCACCTTGACATGTCTCGATTGAAGATGTCGTGTGTGTGTGTGTGTGGGGTGTACTTTGCCATATTTCTCTCTGCCTGTTATTGGTAGAAGTGTTTGCAGTACCAGGAGAACCTTGTTATGAAATATTAAAGATGTTATCCAGCCCTCCAAGACTGACAACTAGAGCGAAGACGTGTCCCACTCCCCTCCTTACAAGCTCTCACTTTCTCTACTTCTTCTCTTTTCTGACTTTCCCAGTTTGGTATCGCAATACTTTTTTCCATACGTTGATATTAAATGTGTGATCAATGAAATTTTACTGATGAGACTTTCTAATTAATCAATAAAACATGAGAGGGAGTGCTTTTCTACAGAACATCAGCACAGCTGTGTTTTGGTCACAGATGGAAATGTAATCACAGTGGTGCTGAAATTCAGAACAACATTGTCTTTTTTCATCATCAGTGCTTATTTAATCAGTAAATGAAAAAAACAGCATGTAAAGAAAGACCATTTTAGGGGTGCCCATGGCCTAGTGGTTACTTCACGCGCCCCATGTATGGAGGCTGTAGTTTGAAGCGGCCGCCCCGGGTTCGAATCCGACCTCTGGCTCCTTTCCTGCATGTCATCCCCGACTCTCTCTGATTCAACACTCTATCCTTTGTACTGTCTCTACAATAAAAACATAAAAAAGCCACTTCCTGGTGCAGTCACTTCCTGGAGTCTTGTCGTCTCGTTGACCTTGCTTGCCTATTTATTGCACATTTATGACGTTGGCAAGAGAGCTTTAGCTTTAGAAAAAAAAACAAGGTCGACCCAGTGAAGCTGCTTTCTTTTCTTCTTCACTCTATGCTAAGCTAAGCTAAGCAAAGTTTACTCATGAAATTGAACTGTAATTTCTTCTGACATGGGAAAGAATGTTGACAAGCTGATTTTCTCAAATGGAGGGTGGGAGTCAAACTGAGCTGAACTAGCACGCAAAGCTGACTGGGCGAATTTTATACAAACTTTAACTCTGAAATAGAGACGTGAAGATTTGTCCCATTCTGTACACACGTAGTCTGAGCTTGACCTTATCCCCCATAGTTAATGAATAATCACTTTTCCCATGACACCATCTTGTTTACTTAGACTCATTTTGTAAAAAAAAAAAAAAAAAAAAAAAAAAGGAACAACATTTGAAAGCCACGGCACATCAAAGACTTGTAAATGAGAACAATCACATCGCAGCTTTGTCTGATATTATCTCCTATTTTGCGGCGGCAGCCTGCTGAGAGTCCTGCGAGCTCAGCCTGTGGCTAGGTAAAAAAAGAGTTATATTCCTAACCCTTACACTGTATTTTCAGACATAGACTGTTATCTCCTGACATTTTCCACCTGAACAGATTTACTTCACTTTGTGACCTTTTGTCTGTGAATACTTGTGGAGTTATTTATCTCTTACTGCGTGTAATGGTGAGTGAAAGCCCTCTGTGCCTAATGGTGTTCCCCGCCCCCCCCCCCCCGAGTGGAAAAAGGTAAAAGCTGCTTTATGGAGCTGGATAAATCATCTCTTGATTTGTATACATTACAATTGCCTCTAAAAGCCATTTTTACAGGGTAATGTAATATGTTCTCTTAATGTGCATTTTATATCAGTCATAAATCGCTGCACGTCACACTTTAACTTTTTTTCAGGAGATGATTCCTGCATTTTAATCTCATGGAAGTAAAACGGCCGTTCATTAGAATAAAGTTTGGGCAGGCGGACAGCTTCATTGGAAAAGTGGCTTTCCAATAAAAATCTGGGAAGGTTGTTTATTGAAATAAATGCTCTGAATGTCTTCCTCTTAATAACCTCCTACTCTAATGGCTAAGAAGACTGCAGATTAACCAGCAATCAATCTGTTATTGAATGCTTTAGAGCAGCAGAGAGTAATAACACCTCCAATCAGGCCTACGAATACATTTTGAACCATTAAGCCTAATCAATGTTTCTGGCTAATTTTGATGTGAGCCAAACTAAATTGCTAGTGTGTGCTAACACGGTTAATTCAGGTCTACATATTGGAGCATCTTGTGCTTTAATTACTGCTGTAAATATTGTATGTTTATGCAGGTGCACACTAGGAGGGAGGGGAGAAAGAGAAAAACTGCAAACAGTGGTAGAAATAGAAAGAGTGAAATGAGACAGAAGGATCTGGAACAGGCTTCAAAGTAAATAGACCTCCTGAAATAGGGCAGAAAGTGGGAATGATTAAAACAGGAAATGTTAATATCCCTTAAAAAAAAAAAGCAGCATCTTCCAGCTCTGGTTCCAGCTATGTCTTGAAACAAACAGAAAAATCGACTCTGGCAGAAGGAGATTCGCCTCAGTGTCCTTCTGTTAGCCGGAGGAGAGCAGCCAGCTTCATTCAGAGCTGTGTCACCCTCCAATACTGAGACCCAGCAGCCCTGCACCTTTCCTCCTGCTTTCCTTTTTTAACTTTCCCATCCACTTCTGTCTGCCCCTCTCTCCCCTCTCTCCCCTCTCGGCACACCTAGCTTTCTGTCAGGAGATTTTTATTTAACCCCAATCTCCTCACATCCCATCATGAAGTGTCGACGTAGGTGCCTTTAGGGGGTGGTGCATGACCAGGGTGGTTGTCACACCAATTGTTGCTTAAATCACTCGTCTTCCTTCCCAAGTGGAGGTGGACTATCTCTGTCCTGCTGACTCTGGAAAGAAGGTTTTTGGGCCAGAGGTCATGAGATGTTGTTGTAACTCTTATATTAGGTGTGATAACACAAACTGAGTGTGTTGGGAGGGATTATCTTGATGTCCTACTGATCTATGTTCAGAAATGTTCTGCTTATTGTGTGAAAATGCAATCACTTCTGCATAGAAAGTTAAACTAAGGTAACATGTTGGAGCTGAAGGTACTCTAACATTTATTAATGTCATTAAGTTTCATATGAAATAATGAATTTAAAACTTTGTAACTAAAGGCAACGAGCAAGGCTCCTCTCTCTCTTTATGCTGTGTTTATCAGATCGTACAACGTCTCGGTCTAACCGACCTTCATCAGGCATAATGGCAACAAGCAAACATTTCCATGTACATGTTGATGTCTGCTTGCTGTCATTATTCAGTTTTACCCTCCTCCGACGCACATGCCATACATTCAGGTGTGCAGAGATCTTTGTCTGTGTTTTTCTAAACAGTGTAACTCAACATCAAGGTAGTAGCAGAAATATTTTTTACCAGTCCTGACTTTGGGGAAAAATTAGTTCCACTCTCGCATAATGTGTGTAAACACAGACATCAGACACATTCCAAGTATCTTGAATGATACAAGGTATAGCTGGTTTGTGTGTGTGTGTGTGTGTGTGTGTGTGTGAGAGTGTGTGGCCTCCTCAGTAAAACTACAGACCCATTGTTGGGAGCCCTGTTGTAATCATTTGGTCGGAGGATTATGAGAAACAATAACTCATAGCTGGCCTTCGATCAAACGTGCCGATGGAGGACTGTCCTTGCTGCAGCGAAAAACAAACATCACCCCTGTGTCTCATAACTCCTTCACTTTTCCTGAGGATGGTGATTTGATATTGATTAGGTTTCATGAGAGCCTGCTGCTCATCCAGCTTATTGTCTACAGGACAGTATGGAGCTTTGTCCTCCCCTGAGTCTCGTGGCCCTGTACAAGCTGTATTATCTGCTCTTACGGCTTCACAGCAGCCTGCATCCTGAATTTAGAAAAGAGCTCATGACTCAGGCACCACATTTTGTGCCTTCTGATGAAGCTCTTATTTCACCTGGCCCTGCAGACTGCAACAATACTTATCCACCTCTTTATTTTATGCTTCTGTCTTTCCCTATTTATATCACTTTCTGGCTTTTTGTTTTGGGTCAACAGATGTGGAACAACGTGGCGATGGAGTAGTTTGTAATTAATGCGCCTGTCCCTGAGAGGAGGACAAGAGCAGCAGAATGTGTGCAGCTCTTCATGTTCATTATGAAAATGCCTTTTTGCTTCAGCGTTGAGAGCAGTAGGTTAGCCACAAGTGTAAGCTTGATTTGCTGTAATTGTTGAATTAAATCTGATTATAATGTATTTTTCTTTTTTGCAGGTACTGATTGAGGCTATGGTTTCCAGGGAGAGGCACGGCTACATCGCCTTAGATGACATCATGGTGCTCAACTATCCCTGCTGTAAGTGCCACTTCTGATAATGAATTGCAATTACAGGAGGTGCTGGAAGACAACTAGGGTTTAGTGGTTTGGGTGGGAGATGTACTTCCTAGCAGCATGAAGAGGAAGAGGAGAGAAGAAATGGCTGATCAAGCTTTCATATTGGTGTTGCACGTCGTCCTGGGGCGCCCTGCAACAGCAGCAGAGCTGTTAAAACACTGTGACACTTAATGCCAACACTTCCTTCCACCTGCCATCCTGCCATCCTGCCCCGTTTGACAACCAAATGCGTTTGTTAATTTGGTAAACCTTGAATTGTTTTTTGAAAGGCTTCTACACATTCATGATCTTTGGCTTGACCTGACGTGTGGTGTAGATTTTGTCCTTACTAACACTGTACAGAGGTTCCTTTTTCCATACCAGTGCTACATTTCAAAGCGCTATGAAAATGCCTTCTCTTCAAGTTTTTTTTTTTAGTTTTAGCGACAGCTTCCTGCAGCAGGGGCTTTTTGTGTCAGTGGTGTAAAAGTGGGAGTATCAGTGCAGTGTGTTGTCAGCCCCTGAGGACCATGTGTAAGACATATTCAGTAAGCCCCATGAGCTCAATACCTGGACAAACTCTCTCCATGACACTTTCACTCGCTGTATGACCCACTGCTGAAACACAAGTGCTAGTAGCACATTTAACAGCCATGTTCACACTACTCTAAGTGACTCATATAGCTGACTCAAGCTTAGAGGGCTATTTTTGATCTCATGGGGATGTAATGTTTTCTCACTGTCAACACTTATATATCCCTCTATCATCTCTGACATCATAATCAGGGTAAAACTAAAATGCTATTTTAATGTCCGTTGTCTGTTTCAGGTTGTACGTTTTAGGGTAACTGAGGAATGTAAATAATTTCACTGTGTCCTGATTTACAAGATACTGAAAAGAGAATTGAAAGTGAAAATCCAGAGGGACATCAAGCAAAGTAAAATAACATATAAGATAAGCTGTTAGCTACTTTTAGACAACAGCTAACACAAGCATTCAACTGCTCCCTTAATTACTTTGCGTTTTATTAGAAGTTCCAACAAACATAATATTGATAATGAAGTGAACCATCACTTTGTATTATATAGAAATGCTTGTTGTATTGTTTTGTGTAAAGTTATAATCAATATTAACTTTCAGCCACTTCCTAGCTTTTGGTCATATTAGCCAGTAAGTGGCTGAATGCTAATGTCTGTAGCTTTCTGTGCTCAGCCAGCAGGTTAGCAATTTGGATGTTTTAAGTTGAAATATTGCCAGATATTATTTGTCTTCAGTTTTTAAGCAATCAAGAAGTAGTGAATGACACTGATTCATCAGATACTCTTATTTATTTTAAATTCCAACGAGCAGTCAGACATCCTAATATCATTTGAGCTATCCACCCTTGCATTGTTGGTAGGCTGACTATTCAGACATGTTGTGTTATAGACAACACTTGCAATGTTAAGTTTGGTATTTAACCCTACTGCATGCATACCACCCAGTCAGCCACCATGTTTTTCCCTAAAACAGCAGATGGCATCCTCTGAATGCTCCCACTGTGGCCATTAAATAATTAAGACTCTCATCAAGACCTGAGCATGCCTTATGATGTGGCACACTGCCAGCCTGCACTACTTGGCAACGACAGGGCAGGGAAAGGAGTGAAACCCGGAGGGAAAGTGTCACATAGTGGAAAGAAATAAAATAAAATATGAGCATAACACGTTTTGTAAATTCTTGATAAAGCAGTCTGGACATTTTAGTTTTATTCTCCTGAGACGTAGTCTTTGACTTTGGAAGCAGAAATGCGCCCTAATGAAATATTTATCACTCTAAAGAGTCCTGAGGATAAGATCTGACACATTTAGCTGTATTACACCAGAGCTCTTGCCAAATGGAGTTTTTTTTTTCTTTTTTCCGTTCACACTCATTACCGTGTTTGTTTATGTTCGGCTCTCAGGCATGAATTATGAATTAACCTTAGGAGGGAGAGTCACTCAAAGGAAACATGGCTGCCTGCAGGGTACAGATGTGAACAGTCTCCTCTTACTACTGTACACAAACAAGCTCAACAAATTGTCATCTCCCCATTCTGCTAGATCGCAGCACAAAACCAAGCAGGGGATGCATGAGACCAAAACATTTGCCTCTCCCCGAAGCTTCAGCTTCACTGCCGCTCTGCCATGTCTCCCCGTCAATCATCCTGAGTGACATGTGGACTTCTCCTACCCCATTTCTCAGAGATGGCAGACAGTGCTGCTGGCGTTTACCCAGTGATTTCACTCTGCAGGGGTGTGGATCTCACTTCTCTATTGTTAATCACAGAGTTGGGTGAGAGGGCTACTCCCACACACTGACTCATTTGTATCTCTGCACAGCATGCTGGGACATTATTAGTCAAAATGTGGAGGACTGATGCTCACTCTGAGGCTTTTCTCACACAGATTCACTCCCACAGTTGGCTCATTTATAGATTGCCTCTAATCTGATGTTATTTGGGTCTATGGTAATGGCTTCTGAATGACCCTTTTAACACATACGTTTACAAACTAATCTACACTTTATGTTAAAAAAAACCCACACACAGAGGCGCTGCTTGTCAACAGGCAAGGCAGGCAGGCAACGGCTTGGGGCCCCAGACTGATAGGGGGCCCCTGAGGGCTGACAAACCTTAAACCACAGCAAAATGTGCAAATTTAGCAGTGACAGTAGGAAACCTCCCTAAGGGTGCCCCATCTGACAGCACTTACTCTCGTTGGCTTATTGCTGTGAAAACCAATGTTTTTTAGTGAAAGTATAGAGGAATTCTCGGTCTATCATAGAGAAATCAGAAACATGACATTAAGAGGAAGGAGTAAGCATGGCAGACATGATGGTGATAAATGCAGGTTGTAGGGCCCCCAATTATTTCTTGCCTGGGTCCCCAGTAGTCTCTAGAATCATCACTGCCCACACACATTATAGTTTGACTTCTTTAATCTTATGTTAAATAATATTGCATTAATATTCAACATTCCTGTTCACATACATTTGTGGGCTGTAAAGACTCTGAACGTTGAAAGGATAGATGCACAACATCTTTCCTACGCTGTTAATACATCTGAAACACATGAAAACAAGGCCAAAAGAATAAGAAGAAAAGAAACACAATGCTTTTTTTGTCAACCTTTTTCCTTTTTCTGATTTAGCTATTTTCCTTTTTGCAGCTACATTCTTAAGATCATTATTTTAAACTGCTCAAAGCTGTCAACAAGAAGTTGAAAAGAAGTGGAAGAAACATTATGAAATTAAATATAAAATCAGTGTATATGTATTATTTTGCATCGATGGAACAAAAAATGAAAAATAGAATTGAAAAAGGTGTAAAAGAAAGTTTTTGGAGTTTATTTGTACTTTACAAATTCTCAGTCGCTTTAGGTTTGTCATTGCATTTGTGATAATGAATTAAATATGAGCACACACAGGACAAAGCCAGCTGTTCTCTCAAACCAATATGCCTAACATTCGTGTTAATGTAAAGCCTTGGTATAATGGTGCCGTGTGCCTTATTGACATTGTGAACAGCTGAAAGGTAATGGAGTTTTTTAGATTCATTGCTTTCCTCTTTATGTTTCTGCCTCTTTAGATAAAGCGCCGCACTTCTCCAGGCTCGGAGATGAGGAGGTCAATGCGGGCCAGAATGCTACCTTCCAATGTGTTGCTGCTGGAAGAGCTTCAGAGGCGGAGAAGTTCCTGCTGGAGGTCAGTGCTTCAATGGTGGACTTTAGAGCTAAAGTAACCTGTGTGTCTGACTTTGATGTGTGGATATTTTTACCTCTGGGACAGTCAATAGTACAAAAGACAAACTGCTTTCTGTACTCAATCCTCCATCTTTGAGAGGTACTTCAGGTCATGGTCAGATAATGAGGCAGTGGACCTCCTGGGTTCAGATGTCTAAAAGTCTTTTATAAACTTCAAAAATCACCCAGAGACAAGATGATCACTTTCTGTAGTTTTGTTGTTCTTCTGCCTTTTTAAAAAATCATGTATTTGCTGTTATTTGCATCACTTTGAACTGCAGTGCTTATCCTTTTAACATCTCATTAATGACTTTTTTCTCTCATTTTGTGTTGCTTTGTACTGTTTAACATTTCTTTCATGTTGTTTTTGTATCTGTTTTGCGGTATTTGTGGGGGTTTTGTATCTCTTTGAAGCAGCTGATCCTCTTTTTAGCATTTGTGACATTTGTCATTTTGTGTCTCTTTGTTTCCGTTTTATGTCTTTGTTCCAGTTTCACATCTCTGTGTAGTTTTTTGATTACTGACACTGTTCTTCAGATCAATCATTAACTGGAGCCATTTTTGATTTCGATATTCCAACAAAATGTAACTCAGTGTATTACTGCATTATAAGTGCAGAATCAGTGCAACACAGTTTATTGTGTTGTTGTATCATTCCGTGTCCCAGACGTGTTTGTGCTTAAATAAAGATAGCAGAGGCAGTTCTAACGCTGTGAAGGCCATCAAGGCCTTTGTGCCTCCTCACTTCACTGCCTATGTAAAGTAACACTGCTTAAAAGATCATAGTGTTCTCTGCTTTCCTCGCTGCCTCCTGTTTGTATTCAGATCATGGTCTGTGCTTTTGGTCTTTTTTTTTTAATCTAGAATGGCTTTTTTTTCTGTGAAGGTCAGATGGGTCATACAGTCCTTACCTCTGCTGGGAATAATGGGGGACTTAAGATCCCCACTCTTTTTGTAGCCTTGATTAAAGTAACATGGCTTTTTTCTTTTCTTCTCATTGTGGAAATTACAATGCGCAGCCACACTTTCGCTGCTTCTTGCCAACATCTTACCTCCCACTACAGCCAGCCAGAGTTAATCATGGTTAACCTTAGGTAAACATTCTGTTTGGTTTGAAAGTAGAGAGATCTGTGATTTATGTAATTGAAGCCTCCTCACTCCCACCTCTCTGCATTCTTTATCAAACCAGCCATTTGGTCACAACACGAAGATGAAGACAAATTGTTTGGGTAATTAGCTGGCATAACCACACAGGCGTCTGCTGTAATGAGATCCCCGGCCACTAGAATGGCTCTCCTCTACCTTTAACTGCCCTCTTTGTCGTCTCTCTGTCCGCTGCACACGTGTCAGTCTGAGCTCTTTTGTCAGCATGTCCTCGTATCATTCTCACTTTCTGTTGTTGTGTCCTTCCGTGTTCATTGTTTCTGCTGTACCAGCTGCAGCAACATCTTGGCTGCACACGCCCACCTGATTAACAGACCCTTTTGTCGTTTCCTCGCCAATTAGCAGCAGCCAGATTGTTTACGTTACACGAAGCCACCTCACTTTTATTTGATCTATCCTGATTTAACCCTGCATGCTGCAGTCCACATGCTCGTCAAAATGAAATACGCTCAGTGGATGTAGGAGCGTAATGTATAATTGAGATTTTTTTTTTCTGTCATTGCGGTCACAAGATTTGTTGCCTGCTTAACCCTAACTAGCGGGTGTGTGTTTATGTGTTTGTTTGCAAAGGCCCTGCATGAGGTTTGTGTGGTCTGTGGGTTTTTTGAAGGTCCAAATCAGAAGTACAACCAGGAGCTGAACACAAACCAAAGGTCTCCCTGCTAGTCAGTGAAATACGTCCATGATTTAGATTCTGTGTATCTGTGTAACGTACAGATAAAGAAGGATGAGTATGAAGTTTAATGTTCACTATTTCACACAAAGAGAACGGCCTGAAAACATGGGAAAAATTTTCGGATTCAATGTGTTTTGTAGAGACTCCGCAGAGTTGACGGATGCTTGTGGTTTTAATGGTGTGTAACAATGTGAGAAATGTGTCTCATGGTGTAACAGCGAGGTGCATCATGCAACATTCATGCAAACCGCGCTCTGTTTTCAATATGACTACCTCCCTCTGTTTCTCACTTTCTGCTCCAACTCACTTTTGTTTATGTTCGGTTTCTGCTTTGAGACATGCTTTATGCTAAAACAAGCAGAGAGCTCACAACCATTGCTACTTCTTCTTCTTTATTGTTTTTCCACCAAAACAAGTCGACATGTTTCCTCTCAGCAATGAGCCTTGTTTTCTCGACTGATTAAACCTTAATGCATTAAAGCCCATCTGCCTCCCAGTTCTAACTGCTGAGCAGTGAAATGTTTTGGTTCAATAACATTGCACACAGAGGACTGAGGTTGTAGATGGGCTTCATTAAGGGACAACTCTTATTACATGTATTACCCCCATAATCACTATTATTTTAACAAGATTCCATTTGTTTTTATGAAAACACGTCTGATTGTCATATTGCGTGATTGAATCAGAGAAATGCTCCTGTTACCCTAATTAAACTGCACACAGACGGACAATCGTCCTTTGAAATCTCAAAGCTCTAATAAAAAATGACCCAGATTGCAATAATTAAAGTGGGTTTCTTTACATTATTAGCTTTGTGTGTCCCAGGAGCTCACTGGGCAATAACTGCTTACAAGAGCAAATGTAGATAATGAGTGTTTATGTGTGTGTTTGTGGGGGAGGTTGGTCTGTGTGTGCACCTTATAATAAAAACACTAATAACTTTATAAAGCATACATAAAGACTTCTTAGTTATATTACGACTGTGTTCTACAACAGAGCTAATGTCGTCCAAGTATTTAAACGAGGAAGTTATTTTAAAGGAGGAGGAAAGTAAACCAGTAAATGTGACAGAAAGAAAAATGAAAAATTTGAAAACTCATTTAATTCGACAAAGATTCTGGGGATCAGTCTAGTAGAAAAATGATTGACTTTAATTTAGCAGAACTTTAAACAACCAAATTGAGATGGGATAAAAAAAAAAAAAGTTTTTGGAGGTTATGAATCTATTTAAATCTCAGAAGATAAGAATCTTGATTTTTACAAAAATCTTTTTTTTTTTTTTATCCCATCTCAATTTGGTTGTTTAAAGTTCTGCTAAATTAAAGTCAATCATTTTTCTACTAGACTGATCCCCAGAATCTTTGTCGAATTAAATGAGTTTTCAAATTTTTCATTTTTCTTTCTGTCACATTTACTGGTTTACTTTCCTCCTCCTTTAAAATAACTTCCTCGTTTAAATACTTGGACGACATTAGCTCTGTTGTAGAACACAGTCGTAATATAACTAAGAAGTCTTTATGTATGCTTTATAAAGTTATTAGTGTTTTTATTATAAGGTGCACACACAGACCAACCTCCCCCACAAACACACACATAAACACTCATTATCTACATTTGCTCTTGTAAGCAGTTATTGCCCAGTGAGCTCCTGGGACACACAAAGCTAATAATGTAAAGAAACCCACTTTAATTATTGCAATCTGGGTCATTTTTTATTAGAGCTTTGAGATTTCAAAGGACGATTGTCCGTCTGTGTGCAGTTTAATTAGGGTAACAGGAGCATTTCTCTGATTCAATCACGCAATATGACAATCAGACGTGTTTTCATAAAAACAAATGGAATCTTGTTAAAATAATAGTGATTATGGGGGTAATACATGTAATAAGAGTTGTCCCTTAATGAAGCCCATCTACAACCTCAGTCCTCTGTGTGCAATGTTATTGAACCAAAACATTTCACTGCTCAGCAGTTAGAACTGGGAGGCAGATGGGCTTTAATGCATTAAGGTTTAATCAGTCGAGAAAACAAGGCTCATTGCTGAGAGGAAACATGTCGACTTGTTTTGGTGGAAAAACAATAAAGAAGAAGAAGTAGCAATGGTTGTGAGCTCTCTGCTTGTTTTAGCATAAAGCATGTCTCAAAGCAGAAACCGAACATAAACAAAAGTGAGTTGGAGCAGAAAGTGAGAAACAGAGGGAGGTAGTCATATTGAAAACAGAGCGCGGTTTGCATGAATGTTGCATGATGCACCTCGCTGTTACACCATGAGACACATTTCTCACATTGTTACACACCATTAAAACCACAAGCATCCGTCAACTCTGCGGAGTCTCTACAAAACACATTGAATCCGAAAATTTTTCCCATGTTTTCAGGCCGTTCTCTTTGTGTGAAATAGTGAACATTAAACTTCATACTCATCCTTCTTTATCTGTACGTTACACAGATACACAGAATCTAAATCATGGACGTATTTCACTGACTAGCAGGGAGACCTTTGGTTTGTGTTCAGCTCCTGGTTGTACTTCTGATTTGGACCTTCAAAAAACCCACAGACCACACAAACCTCATGCAGGGCCTTTGCAAACAAACACATAAACACACACCCGCTAGTTAGGGTTAAGCAGGCAACAAATCTTGTGACCGCAATGACAGAAAAAAAAAATCTCAATTATACATTACGCTCCTACATCCACTGAGCGTATTTCATTTTGACGAGCATGTGGACTGCAGCATGCAGGGTTAAATCAGGATAGATCAAATAAAAGTGAGGTGGCTTCGTGTAACGTAAACAATCTGGCTGCTGCTAATTGGCGAGGAAACGACAAAAGGGTCTGTTAATCAGGTGGGCGTGTGCAGCCAAGATGTTGCTGCAGCTGGTACAGCAGAAACAATGAACACGGAAGGACACAACAACAGAAAGTGAGAATGATACGAGGACATGCTGACAAAAGAGCTCAGACTGACACGTGTGCAGCGGACAGAGAGACGACAAAGAGGGCAGTTAAAGGTAGAGGAGAGCCATTCTAGTGGCCGGGGATCTCATTACAGCAGACGCCTGTGTGGTTATGCCAGCTAATTACCCAAACAATTTGTCTTCATCTTCGTGTTGTGACCAAATGGCTGGTTTGATAAAGAATGCAGAGAGGTGGGAGTGAGGAGGCTTCAATTACATAAATCACAGATCTCTCTACTTTCAAACCAAACAGAATGTTTACCTAAGGTTAACCATGATTAACTCTGGCTGGCTGTAGTG